TGGTAAATTCAACATCTGACTTTCAAAACTGTCCTGCTTGTCTGTGATTCTTTCTAGCTTCCTTCTGTTCTTTTCTGCACATTTAAAAATGTATTAGCTAACAGTGGTATAACTCTCTTTACATATATCATCATATATTTGCATGTGGTATCACAGTTGATCCTCACAACAACCCCACAATATAGGTGCTATTATTACCCCCATTTTGTAAGATGAGGAAACTGAAGATAAGATAGGTCAATGACTTGCCCAGGATAAGGAAGTATCTAAGGCAGTATTTGAACTCAGGTCTTTACTACATCGAGCTGCCTCTCACTGTTTTTCCTTTCTTTATATTTTTCTTCTCCTTTGTTTTTTCTCACTTTTTTCTTCCTGTTTTTCCATTCCCTTTTTCGATATGCCTGGTACCCACTGCTAAGTGCATGACATGAATCTGAAAACCAGCCCAATTAAGAGAATCTCAGCACAAGATTGGCTATAGGGCAATGGACTTTTTTTAGCCATAACAAATCTGAGAAACTGAGTCACAGAGGGGTTGCAGTTTATGTTGCAAAAGAGAATATTCACATTAGTTAAATGCTAAATCTTCAAAGTACTGATTGATCATCATCTTTTCCTGAGACCTTGCCCAGTATGCCAAACTAATCTGAGCCATTTCCCATTTTTATCACTGACTTGAGTGAAATCATGGCTTTGCAGATTTGCAGAAGATACCAAGCTGAGAAGGGTAGTTAACACAAGATGGGTTACAATGATGAGCCAAATAAAATAAGATGAAATTTAGTAAGGGTACAAATACATTTCCATGTTTGTGTTCAAAAACTCAACTTCGTAAGCACTATATAAAGAAAGTATAGCTCGACAAGCAGTCACGATGAATATTGTCTATGGGTGTTAGTGTACTATATGTTCAGTATTAGGAGTGTGACATGGCTACAAAAAAAGCTAATGCTGTTGTTGGCTGCATTGAGAGGCATAGTGTCCAAAACACAGGAAGTAATGGTTGCTATGTACTTGCCCTACAGGCCACATCTCCAGTGATGCGTGAAGTACTTGGGACAAGCAATAATTGTGATGTGGCTTCATTTCAGGATATCATATGTTTTTCCTTTAATTGGACTAAGTTGTAGAATCTGACTTAGACCAAATCAAACTAGTTTCCCCACCATCAGTTAGTTCTCTGGTTGTTGAATGCTAGATTTCATGCATACAGATAGAAGTGCTTCATTGTTTTCTTTTGTTGTGTTTTTATTTCTGTGGTTTTAAAGAATGGTTATGACTCCAAGAAAACATGTGAAAGTTGTCCTCCCTTTCCTGTTACTGTAGAGGGCAACACCATCCTCCCAGTTCCTCAGATTCACAACCTGGGAGTCATCCTGGATTCCTCACTATTTCCCACCCCCCACATTCAAGTTGTTGCCAAAGCCTGTTGTCTTCATCTTTGGAAATATTCCCCCTTTTCTCCTCTAACTCTTCTAATATAGGCTTCCATCACCACATACCTGGATTACTGCAATAGCCTGCTGGTAGATCTCCCTGTTTAATATCCAATGGGATGAAAGTATAGTGTAGTGATAAACGAATGTTTATGTGTCAAAATCTTGTGAACTCAGAGCAAGTGATCACAGCAAAAGTACTTTTCATATTAAATTTTTTTAAGTGTGCAAAAAAATTGTATATGAACATGTATAATTTATTATATGTCAATAAATTTAATTACTTACCTTGGTCCCAATTAATTTTGCACACCACTGTAAAGAACTGTGTTCATTTCTGGGCACCCCTTTTTAGAAAGGATACAGGCAAGCAAGACCATGTACAGAAAGGAGGATGTGCCAGAGAAGGATCAGCTGAAGGAGTGGGGCATTTAGCTTAGAGAAGAGGAGGTAGGATATTCAATTAAATGATTCAACAAATATTCATTAAACATCTGCTGTCTGCAAAGTACTATGCGAGGCAGTGAGGATACAAAGACAACATGCGGTGATGATCTGAAGTATTTAATCGGCTGTCATGTAGTGTAGTGGTTAGACGTGTTCTGCTTGGCCCCGGTGTTAGGAGAACCTGGAGAAAGTTGCCAAGAGGCAGATTGAAACTCAGGTAAGGAGGAAAAAAACCGACTACCTAACAATTACAGCCATCCATAGCAGGATAAGATGAGTGCGGAGATGATAGTTTCTCCCTCACTAGAGAGAGTTTAGGCCAGCCACTCGTCAGGGGTAAAGTTGATGTGGTTCTTGGTCAGATACAGGCAAAACCAGGTGGCCTCTGAGTTAGTTCTCTCCTTTCTGTGACTCTGAGCCATTCTTTAGTACCTAGACATTGCCAGGTATTCACCAACCTGAAGAATTGCTTGTTTAAGAAGGTAAGAGCTACTGGTCACACACGTTAGGCTAGTGGGGAGTTCAGATGAATCTGTACAATATGAAGAATAGTAACCCCCACCCCCCCCAACACAGAGACACACTTCACCTGAGTGAACGGCCTGGAAATAGCTGCTTTGTTTTTAGCTTCTTCATTTTGACTGTGGCCTCTCACTCATATGCTGAAGCATGATGACAGCAATGATGGTAAGAATGAATAAAACATCTTAATGTGAATGGAAAGAAATGCTAAAAAAAAAAATCTTCACTGTAAGATATTTAATGGGATAATTTTGTGTAATTTTTTTATTATATAGACATTTTTCTCTCTCAGAGAGAGCTTTTTTTTTAGTAGAATAACCTATAATCTGACTGACCAACACATAACTGTGATCTGAATGTTCCGAATGCTCATTTGAAAAGTCTGATACGGGAGGGAGACAGCCTAATGCGTATGTTAACTATCCATTCCTTTTAGGTTCTTTAAGCTATTTATCACTGGATTAGGTTTGCTTATCAGGAAACAACATGTTTAGACCATATTATCTTTACTCTCCACAAAAATGTTTTTCCTGAGTTACAACTTAATAGTATTCTATTAGAGTCTGTGTGTATATACATACATATATGCATATATGTGTATGTGTGTATATGTATATGTGCATATACACACATATATGGGGTTGATACATGAAATTCCTACTTGAACATTGCTGTCTTTTTCAAAACTGTAATTGAAGATGTCCTTCATGTTAGTAATTTCTCTTATGTAAGGCAGTGATTCCTCCTACATATCAAAGTCAAGAAAAAGTTTGTCTCTCCCAAGGAATTATGTGTCTCTTTTTATCAGAAAATGAGCATGAACTCTGTAACCCAGTGTGTTTCCATTTTTGCCTTACTTGCTGGGAAGCTTAGTACTAAACTGAGGGCTCAACTACAGTAATAATATTTCATGTCCAGTGCCTAGTGATATATGTTCTGGTTCCCTTCAAATGGCTTTTGTTCTTTTTAAGATTTTTAATTGATTTATGTGTGTCTTAAATTTGTAAATAACAAATCCTTTTTTGGCTATAAATATATATACATGTATATGCATTTACATATATACATAATCCATTATGAGCCTGTCAGATACATTTAAGCCAGTTGTTTAGTAAACCATGTACAAATAACTATTTTTCCAAATTTATTCAAATTGCTGAGCATAGTAATTTCATTTTTAAATAAAGAACTTTCAAGAGAAGTAATGAAATGATTTTAGGAGAATTATGACCAATAAAGATATGTAACTTTGTGTGGTCCCCAACTTGTTCAGCGTGGCTATGGAGTTAGAAGACCCCAAGTCAGACCCAGGCTTTGCTGCTTACCTGTGTGATCTTTTTCAGTCATGTCAGACTCTCTGTGACCCCATTTGGGGTTTTCTTGGCAAAGATACTGGAATGGCTGTCCATTTCCTTCTCCAGTTCATTTTACAGGTGAGGAAATAGGGTTAAGTGACTTGCCCAGGGTCACACAGCTAGTAAGAGGAGTCTTCCTGACTGTAGGTCCAGCACTCTATCTACTGCGCCACCTAGCTACATATGTGACCTTAGATGTATCATTTAACCTCTCCTATCTTCATTTCACTTATCTGAAAAATGAAGGGTTTGGATTAGATAATCTTGAAGGTCCATTCCAACTTTAAATCCTGTGAACTTAATACCAGGAAAATGTGCACTTCAAACAGAACTCTCTCTGAAGGGAAGAGGCAAGGAAAGAAATCATTTTTCCCCTTTCAATGTAACAGAATCATTGTACATCTAGACACAACCCTACACTTAGCTCTAATGAACTTTCTAATTTGTTTATAGACTGAGGAAAATTACAAGGTAGCCAATATTTATACCTGTTCGAGAGCATGTTAATCTTTTTAATACTTTATTCCTGAGATGGGAAACCTAGTTAGAACATGCTCTGAACAGTAGGAGTAGCATTCTTCCAGCTAATTGTGTTTTGCATCATTCAAGACAAGTTTAGCCAGGCTCATTTAGCTGTGCTAATTTATCAGTATGGTTACAAGGGAAAGGGCAGGTGTAGGGGGCATGGAGAAGAGAAACCCAAAGCTAGGGGCAAGCTGTGATCCTGGGCTCCTTCAGTAGGCAGCCTGTCCCCAGATTGATGTCACCATTTGGCAGAGATGGCTTTCTGTGTCTGGCATCAGAAAAGGTGCACAACAGAAGCTGTTATGCTGAGTTTGCTTTTTCTTCCTCAAAAACAGTTTCCATATTATTACCCATGCAGATAGGTTTCAGCATGCTGTTTTTCTGCCCAGGCCTTGGAAGTAGCCAGGGATAAAAATGTTTTCTTTTGAGGGGACAGCTTTATTTTCCTACTTTTACTGTTTTTGCTGAATGAGTCTGACTGCTTCACCAGTCCACCAGCACCATCTTTTTCTCATTTATGCAAGATATTAGCGATATTTTTCCTTGTTTGGCAAAGTTCCTGAGTAGCAGAAGAAAGACTCTTTTTGGCCTACGTGTTTTAACAGATCTTTCTTCTGATTCCTAGCTCATTGTTTACCTGTGTATTAAGCTTGTCAATGATTAACTCTGTTTTTGTTCTAGTAGGAAGAGTGAGATGTCCTGCCTTCCTCAGCTACTGTTAGCTAATGCACACTTGCTGAGGACCAGGTGCTATGACTTGTCCGGGATGTTTAATGTTGGCTGACCTAGAGAGGAAATGCATTTTTAATCAGCCTAAAGATGATGCTCTCCAAAAACAACCAAATAAGTAGTGTTCCCGCAGGCAGCCTATTATTCAAAATTTCTTATGTATGTCACCAGAACATAACATGCCATTTTGATACCAGGACTAGGTTGTCATGACACAATTCAAACAAGTACCACTTAATACAGTCTCCCTTTAAATGTCCTATTCTTACTGTATTTAAAAATCATTACCAATTTGAACAGAATTCATTTGAATGTATTTCTGTGCATATAAGATGAATTTGAGTTATATTAAATGAATAATTATAAAAAAGGTTCAGATTTATTTTAGTACCCTCAAATTACTCACAGATTCCTTCAAATGTTATTCTGTAATAACCATCACAGGTACTGCATGCCATGTTCCAGAATCAATATTCTTTCAATTAAGTCAACATTTACATTTGTACGAAACATCTTGTACTCACTCCTGTGGTAAACACCAATATGAGTAACGTACTGTCTCTCAAGAAGTTTGAAATCTAGTACTAATAATTCACATTTATATAGGCTTTCAGGCTTTTTCTCACAAGTACTTATAGATAGTGCAGTTCTTTTTATTTCCATTTTATAGCCAAGGAAACTGAAAGTCAAGAGGTTGAATAACTTGCCCAAAATTACAAGACTAGTAATTTTCAGAGCTAGAACCTAAAGCCAAGTTTTCTGACATAAGATATCTACCTTGCACATGAAACTACCTCATTCGTAGTTTCTTTGCCTCTCTCAAGTTGTCACTTACCCTTCAACTATGTTAACACTTGAATTCGATTGAATTTTTTTTAATGAATTTTAAAATTATGAGTGTTGAATTTTAAGATGGGGGGGGGGACAGGGAAGAGGCCAGCCATATTTTTGCTTAGAATACCTACTAGTCTGGTAACCAGAGTATGGTCACACCAAGTCCAAACACCTCCACTTGGCTTTCAAAACTGACCATCTTTTATTGACACCCTGCATATTCATCTCTTATTACCTGCCTCTTTCTGATTCAATACTTCAATGCTTTCTAATACTATAATAGGCAAATCTCTTCAGCCACCACATAACTCATACTCATTTCCACCTTCATGCAGTTACTCATGTAGTTGTTCTCCTTTGGGGTGGAGTGTGAGGTGAGGAGGGAGTAACTTTTCCCAACTCCATTGCCTAATCTATCCATTCTTTACAACTCAGCCCAAGCCCCACCTCTTCAGAAAACAATCCAAAGCTGACTGATCTTTTTTTCTTCCTGGAGTCCTCCTAAATTTCTAGACAGTACCAAACAATTCAGTATTTATAATTAGTAGTTTAGCTTTCATTGTTTCAAGTGCTTCCCTATCAGACTCTAAACTCTTTGTGAGACTCATTTTGTTGTTTATTAAACAAAACTTAGCTTAACTAATAGCTTATACTCTAATGCTGATAAACACTCACAGGTAGTGATTAAGTGATTTGTTGAACTTTCTTAAATTAGCTAAAAGCAGAAGGTCCACATACTCACACTTACCAGTCCATGTTGTTTTTGTGTGTAGGGCAGTACTGTTAAAAATTGTTTGGATAACCTTTGTAGCTCCCATCCCATCCTGAGTTTGAAGAGTCAGGTTATGTGACTTCTTCTGTAGTGAAGCCTGTCATCAAGTGGGTGTTTCCTCTAATTTCAAGAGAAAAAAAATTATGAGAACAGTGCCTTCATTAAGTTCTACCATTTCTATAGATTGACAGGCATCCATGCTTGCTTGCAGTCTGTGCCCCATTTCTCCTGTCCCGAAAGGCCCTGCAGAATAAATGTCATTAGGTTTACAATGATAATGTCCTCAGACATTTGGAAGGAAAACCTAGGTAAACCTTATTTTCTAGGAGCGGAGCCACACTATGATCTATTTATGAATTATATCACTTAGTTCTCAGAAACAGTCATACAGCAAGCATTTATTATACTTTCTCTGTCTCTGTCCTCCATGTGCTTCCACCCAGTGATGACTTGTTTTCCCTTTCCTAGTCTTGTTGGGGCTTGCAGGTATAATTATATTGGGAGTAGAAGTGCTTACAGACCAGGGCAAATCCTGTTGATGTCAATGAAAGGAGGATTGTGATTCTCAGTTTGTTATAGACAAGAAAGCATAGTGGAAAGAGTGCCATACTAGGCATGAAGGGATCTTCATGCCAGTTCTGGCTCTACCACTTCTTAACTGAGTTTATTGGGGACCATAGGATCATAGATTTAAAGTGAGAGAGAACAATGTGTACAAAATAGTTAAGTAACACTTCAAGGCAATGTTTAATGAAGTGCCCAAATGAGTAGTACAGACCATAAATTCTGTAGGATTTCAGAGCAGTATGAGTTTAGGGTGGGTTGAAATATTTGAAGAAGGCTTCATGGATGGGTTGACATTTAGTATGAAATTTGAAGGACAGGTATAATTTGGAGACTCAGAGGAAGGATATTTCAGATGGATGACAGAGAGCAGGAGCAAAAACAGGAGAAGGAAGGAGCACAAGCATGTTCTCAGGAAAGGGAGGTGATGGTCTGGTGGGAGGATTTCCATTGGGGAGTAGTGAAAAGTGAGGTTGGATGGATAAGATAGGCTCAGACATAGGAGAAGTTTGAAAGAAATTATAAGTCTAGGAGCTCAAAAGCCTGTACAAAGAAGTTGAAATTTATCTAGAATATAGTAGAAACTCATTGAAGGCTTTTGAATAGGTGATCGACATGATGAAATTTTAATTTAGGAAGCTTAAACACATGGCAGTGTGCTGGAGAGATTGAAGATGGGAGACATGGAGGCAGGGACACCATTTAAAAGACTATTAGATTCCCATCAATTGGGGAATGGCTAAATAAATTGTGATACATGAATGTAATGGAATACTACTGTGCTATAAGTAAATGATATGTATGATGAATATAGAGAAGCATGGAAAGATATATATTAACTGATGCAGAGTGAAGTAACCAGACCCAAGAAAACAATATACACTGTAACTAAAACAATTTAAATGGAAAGAATAACACACCAAAAAATAAAATATAACAATATTATAAAAGTGGGACTCAAATGAAGAGATATGAAAGGACACCCCCCAAACCTACCCCTTTGTGGAAGTGAGAGGTCCACAGGTGTTACATGTTTTCACATTTTCTCAATGTATTGATTAGTTATGCTTTCCACCCCTCCCCCCAAAAATACTATTTGTCATATAGGATGATGTTTAGGGAGAGGAAAGAAGGATACATGGGATCCTGTGATGCTATAAGAAATAGAAAACATCCCAAAAAAAGTTTTAAAGCCTATTAAAATAATCTGGGCAAGGACCTAGACTAGGGTGGTAGCATTAGAAATGAGGAAAAAAGAGAAGGATATAAGAGACCTTACAAAGAAAGGACTTGGTGCTGACATTTTAACCTTATATTTGCATGGCACTTAATTCACAAAGTTATTTCACATATATAATATGATAATGGGGCAAAGAAGTATAAGATATTGAAGAGATGTGAACGTGGCAGAAGACCCAGGAACTAAAGAGGATAAACTAAAAGCAAAGCATTTAGATAAAATTCAACAGAACCATAAATGGAAACAATAGCGTCATCAGAATATTTTGCAGAACACACAGACAGAAAGGAAATAGAAAAAATGTTCAGGAAACAGATAACAGACTTAACACAATGGCATGATATAGTAGCAATAGGGTAATCAATCATCTAGACATCTGTTGGAGCTCCCTCTTTGCCAAAAGCAGAGTAGCCAATAATTATTGATTTGTTGTAATGAAAACTTCATTCTTCAAAAGGCAGAGGGACCAACGAGGAAAATTCTGTCCTGTATATGATTCTCACCAACAAGGAAGAACTAATTTCTGGGATAGAAATAATGGGAATCTTTGGAGGGAAAGTAGTAACTCCCCTTTAAAATTTATGATAGAAAAGAAAAAGAAAATTGGTTAGGTTGGAGAGATAGATTTCAAACAGCCCATTAAAAAGCTGGGTAGGGTTTTGTGGCACATAGGGTAAGTCAGCCTGAGAGGAATGGGAATCAATCAATCATTTAATAAGCACATAGTGTTTACTATGCTAAGCATTCTGCTAGGCACTCATAACATGAAGACAAAAAATGAAACCATCCTTTCCTTTAACCAGTTTCTATTCTTTTAGAAAACCCTTGGGTGTGAAAGTCAGAAGACACAATTAGAGAACATTTCAGTGAAGAAGAAGAAAATACACTGTCTCTAGAGATGGATGTGGATGCACAGGAAACTCACAGACCAACTTAGATTTTAAAATGTATGGAAGATGAAAATGAAAGCATGGTGTGATCATAGTGTCAGGAACACCAAAGCTCAGAACGAGCTGAGGCTGACGAGGGAAGCTAGAAGCAACAGAAAGGTTGTTTTTGTTATTAGTGTTAGCTAAATTGGAGGGGAGAGAAGGGAAATAAAAGAAAGGATGGGAAGAACTGCCGGCTGGATGAGATGATGGCAATGGTAAACAGAGAAAGCAAGCAATTCAATTCTCATTTTTCTTTTGTTTCTCTGACAAGGACTGAAAAAGAAGGAACAAAAATGTTAAATAGAGAGTTGGTTGGCACTCAGCATAAGTAGGGTAATAGTGAGATAGCACTCATGTCCCTTTTTGAAAAAGATTTTTCACAAACTTAATACTAAACACTGGTTTACTCAATCCAACTTACCTTACAACTTTTACATATAAATGAATTTCAGTGCCCAAAATGTCATAATTTTCCATTCCTTCTCTGTATTTTGATCTTTTGTTATTCCTATTTACTTTTCTTTTTATATGATTTTAGTATACATTCTTTTTTAGTTCTGCTTTTTTTTTTAACTTTGTATTATTTAATAACAGAGGATGGTTAAGATCCATAAGGATCTCCAAAGTTTAGTTTTAGGCTGAATTTAATAAGATGAAATTCAGTAGGTTAAATGTAAAGTCTTTTCCTTGAATGCAAAAAATCAGCTCCGCAAATATAATATGGTAGAGGCATAGATAGAGGACAGGTGTTCTGAAAAGGATATGGGTATTTTAAAGGACTACATGCTCAATATAAGTCAGTAATGAGTGATATGGCTGACCAAAAAACCACTAATGCAATTTTGAGGTGCATTAGGAGTGGTATAATTAACTGTAAGAAATACTTTATCCAAAGCTTTTCTAAAACCCTAAAGAGGGCTAAGTGTGGTGGCATATACATGTAACCCCTGAGGCTGGTGGATCACTGGAGTTGAGGAGAAAGCTGATTTGGTATCTTCAGTAAAGTATGGCACAAATATGATGAACCTCTGGGAATGGAGAGCCACCAGGTTTCCCAAGAAGGGGCAAACTGGCCTAGGTTGGAAACCAGGTTAAAAGTTCCATGCCAAACAATATTGAGATAAGGCTTGTGAATGGCTGCTATCCTTCTACACTGAGCAAGATAGGGAAACCTAGTCTCAAAACAAAACAACTAAACTAAAGTCTAGGTCAGGCAAATTCTATACACAGTATTCTCCTCAGTTTAGTAATGCTGTCAAAAAAGGAAATGAAGCAAGTATACTATATTTTATTCATGATAAAAACCATACTGGTTCTTTGTAGGTACTATTTTCCTTTCTTACACATTGGGCAGCCATTTCTTTAGTGATCCTCTCTAGAATTTCTCATGAATTGAAGTCAAGATCACTTTCCTATAGTTTCTACATTCTGTTTTCTTTCCTTTTTTTTTTGAAAATCAAGAATTTACTTTTTTCCTGTCTTGTGGTACTTCTCCTATTTTCCATGGCCTGTCAAATATCACTGACATGGGCTCAACAATTGCCATTTGTCCTCTGGAATCATGAATAATCACTGTATTGATCATAGTTCTTTTAACTATTAAAGTTGTTTGACAGTGTCATTATTGTCTATTTCTGCTCATTTAATTCTTCATCATTTTATAAAAGTCCTTAAAATCATTCATTTTTATAAGATTGATGTTATAATGTACTTTTTTCCTGGTTCTGATTACATTACTCTATACCAGTTCATGTCTTTCCAGGTCTTTTTGAAATCATCTGTTTCCTTTATAGCACAGTAGTGCTCCATCACTTTTATATCCATATTCACATACATATATATTCATCTTCCACTCACGTTACTCTCAAAGTACATTTGTGACATTAGCTTTGTGACTAGCTAGATAATCTGGGCACTGCTGTGGTGACCTGCTGCCATGTATGCTGAACACTTAATCTACCACCTTGTGTCCTAGAGCAGGTGCCCTCACAATCAGTTGCTGCTGATGTGCCGCAATAGTCCCGGGCCCATGGATGACTTGGGAATAATGAGATTAGCTTTTGCCTCTTTGTGGTTTTGTAGGAGGCTTCTGTTCTTTTGTGACCTTCAAATCCAAAGCAATAGGAAAGAAAATTATGGCTCCTAGAGTAAATTTCTCTCCCTTGTTCTGACAAGGGTCTTCCTCAATCAAGGTAGCCTTCCTCGTTCTTCAATTCAAACATGACTTCCACTCCCTTCAGATTATGACCCAGACCCTCACCATGTGATAGATGATGTTATTTATCCATTTGCATTTAGTGACTTCTTTGTGGGGCCTGGTTCTTCAACTCTTCTATGCTCTGGTCTTCTAGTTTTCTACGTAATTAGAGTCAGACCCTGGAATCTTCAAAATCAAATTCCCTAGGATCTGCTCCCAAGATAAGTGGTTCAGAGAATATTTATAGGGTACTGTGTTCTGTACTTTTTGCTAGCTTGGTCTTCTCTAGTCCTGGAAGCTTTTGGAAGCTAAAATAGTCAGGATGTTCTGCTGTATAGCTGCAGCTTGTTGCCTACAATATGTCACTAGAATCCTGAATAGGCTGCAGGTAGTTCTAGTTAATGCAGAAAACCTGTATACATTGTTTGAGTTCGGACATAGAAAGGCCATCATTTCTACCTTCATGTTGACACCCACAACTGCCTTGGGAAATTGCAAGCATACTGGGACTCAACCACAGTTTGGGTAGGCCTTACTCACTCCACAGTGATCCATTACCTTCACAGGTTGTAGAGGTAGATGCCTTCTATTTTCTTATAAAATGACTGGAACACAATTGGGATCTGCTGTCCAGAATAGCAGGATATTCTACATCATCACTCCTCTTCATCACCACTGCATGGGGACCAATGAGGAAGCAGAGCCAGGAAGGATTTCTGGAACATGAGTTAATTTCTCAGGGTCTAAGGCAAGCCCTGCCCCTAGATTCTCTTTCCTGGCAATAACATCTTAAAATAGATCTCTGTAAGAAATAATCCTTGCTGTGAATAGTTTTAATTCAATAAACATTGAGCACCTACTATGTTGAAAGTATTGTGCCAAGCACTAAGATAAGAAAACAAAAGTCCCTTCTCACAAGGAGCTTACAGTCTATTTGGGAAAGGGGATATAACATATAAATAAAGAAAAAGTAGAAAGTAACTACAAGAGGAAGGGAGTAGTTAACTGGGTTTTAAAAAACAACTCCATATTAGCTAAGGAAGAAAGAAGGAAAGAAAAGGAAAGGAAAAGGAAAAAAGAAAAGAAGCTTCGGTCCACACTGAGTCTATCAGCCCTCTTTTTGAAGGTAGATAATATGTTTCATGATGGAAGTGGAACCTGAGCTGCGCTTTAGAGGAAGCTGGGAATTCTAAGCTGCTAAGGAGAAGAGGGAATACATTCAGGTCCTGGGAGTCCACCTGTACAAGAGCACAGAGAAGGGAGATTGAGGTTCATGTACAGAAATGGTAAACAATGTTTATGTGATTGTGATGTCAGTCTCTGTGTACATTGTGGCCTCTGTTTGGGTGTTTTCAGACGTTACTGAATAAGTTGGAGAAGGCTTTGAGAAGGGAGGTCATTCTTGATAGCTTGTTGTCAAATGAGTGTAATGGTGAAAAATGGTGACAAATAAGGGGTACCACATCTCTCCCCATCAGATTGGCAAAGTTGTTTAAAAAAAAAAAAGGGAAACGACAAGCTGTAGAGAGGCTGAGGAAAAACAGGTACTTTGCTGCACTTTTGGCAGAGCTGTAAACTGGTCTAGGCCATTCTGGAAAGCAATTTAGGACTATGCCCAAAAAGCTATTAAACGATGCATACTCTGACCCAGGGATACTGCTACTAGGTCTATATGCCAAAGAGATCAAAGAAAGAGGTAAAGGGACACATGTACAAAAATATTTCTGGCAGCTCTTCTTGTGGTGGCAAAGATTTGGAAACTGAGGGGAGTGCCTATAAATTGGGAGAGTGGCTGAGCAAGTTACAGTTTATGAATGCAATGGAATACTGTTGTGCTATAAGAAATGAGGAGGGCATTGGTTTCAGAAAAACCTGCTAAAATGTTAAACTGATAAAAGTGAAATGAGCATAAAAATAATTTATATGGTAACAACAACATTATGAGTACAAAGAATGTTGCAAGCTTGGGGATTCTTATCAACACAATGACCAGTCACAATTTCAGAGGAAACATGCTATACACCTCCAGATAGAGAGCAGATTGAGGCATTTTATCTTTACTCCCCTTTCCCTCACCTTCCCTCCCCTCTGGGAACTCCCCTCACCTCCTCTCTCCTCCCCTACCTCCTCTCCCGTGTCTTCCCCCTCCCCTCCTCTCTTCTCTTTCTTTCCTTTCCTCTTTGCCTCTCTTCTCTCCTTTCCTTTGTGGGCATAGCTACAGTGGGGATTTATTTTGCTTGACTCTACATATTTGTAATGGGTTTTGTTTTCCTTGAATAGGGAGGGAAAAGTGGGAAAGAAAGAAATTGAAACTAAAAATATTTTTTAAAATTCAATTTAAAAAATGAATAAAAAGCCACGAAAACTTTTTTTGAAGACTAGGAGGTACCAGAATATAGTGTTTCCGAAAAAGCTGGAAGGTTCTAGCATGAAGACATGCTGCAAAAGGAAGGCCACCTTTGGGAAATCCTTTCCCCTCCCATTTATGTCATCAGAGTACTTCTTGGCCCCTAGAATGACCTCACCTCAGATTTCCTCTTGAGTGTTAGTAGCATTTTGCTTTGCATGGTGTACATGCCATTGAAATGGGGGGAGGGGGGGAGAAACTCTGCTCAGAGAAAATTAGGATAGAAACCTTTTAGTTCCTTGAAATGCAGGGGAAGGTGCAATGACCATAGAAACATTGTTGATTGAGATATGGTGAATATTGCAAGTGGAGAGAGAGGGAGCTAAATCCAGAGACGCCACAGTGCTAGTGAAAATCATTTTTTACTCAGTGAGTCATAGGGTCATAGGTGTATAGAGTTAGAAGGGACCTTAGCGACCTTAGTCCAGTATCCTTGTTCTTTATATGAGGAACACGTTCCCTTGAAACAGACACTAGAGAATGTGCCCTGGAGCAGGGCATCTCTGCTTTAAAAATGTCACATGCCATTTAAACACATGCAGCACTCACCAGTGGACTGCAAGTTACCTTTTTCCTTGGTTTAGCCTAATTTCTCACCGGAAATTGATGTCAGAGTTGGAAACAAGATAGGAATCTAATATCTATCAAAATTTAAGATGAACAGCTCAGTATATACTTAGTAGCTTTAAAAAGTGCCACCTGGCTTCAGGCCTAGGTGTCTGTCATCTTTAGCATTGTGGAATATATTTCAACGCATTGTTAGTGTTACCAGCTTATTATAAACCATCAAAATTAGAACCATTTACCTTTGAAATTTTAAACAAAATGGAATTAGTAGACTACATACAAAAAATTCCTTTCTTAAGGCTCTCATTGTAAGGATATTTCCTTCCCTTACATCAGCATCATTGAAACATTTCCTTCATTTGTATCTTCTTCTACCACGAAATAGTTGTAACTTGGTCTAATTTTTGTCAAAAGAAGTATGGCTTAAAAAAAAAAAGTTATATGGATGCCTTTTGTTTTGAAATCGCAGGCATCTCTGGAAACACATCCCCTTCCACCCTTCCCCCTGCTTTGAATCTTTCCTTGTAACAAGGAAAAACAGTTGAGTAAAAATATTTGATACAATGGCTTTTTCTTACAATGTATTCAACATTTTGTGTGGGCTGTTTAAAAAAATTCTTAATACAAGGCAGATTAAGAACCATATTGGAAAAAAAAATTTAGAGCATCACAACCAATGTCATCTCCAAAAATGTATGTTGGAGGGGAGGACTGTGATGAAATTAATGAAGTTACTGTAGAGTAGGGAGGCTGCTTCTACAAACTATATTTTGACTTCACTGTATCCTTTAACTTTGATTAATTATGAAATAACTTATTTAATATAGGGACTCGGAGGAACTAAATATTTTTTGAAATTTTAAGCTTTTAAGACAAATTTATGCAATTCCTCAATCTCAACTTCCTTAGCTAACTACATGAATATTTGTTGTGGTTTTATAATTCCTTTTTTAACCACTGTTCAAAATTTTATCAGACATAAAAATATACACCAGTCCTTTCCACACTTCTTACTACTCTGCCATAACCTGAAGTATAATATTTGTTATTTGTTTGATGGTGCAGTATTGACTTTTGTTATATTATGTGAAGAAGCAACTTATTTAGGAATTAAGAAAAAAAAATTTATAAGGAAAACTATTAGGGGCAACTAGGTGGTGTAGTGGATAGAACTTCGGCCTTGGAGTCAGGAGGACCTGAGTTTAAATCCAACCTCAGATGCTTAACACTTATTGGCTGTGTGACCTCAGGCAAGTCATTTAACCCCAGTTGCCTCACCAAAAAAATCAAAGAGCAAAACAAAACCAAAAACTATTCTTTTTTGGTCCAGACCTGTAATTTCAGTTGGGTGAAGAAATCCCTTCAACTAATACAAATGAGTAGCTGTTCTGTTGCCTGGATTATGACTTGACCAAGGTTACATCATAGCCAGTATGAGTCAAGATCTGTATCCTAGTCTTCAGACTCTGACATTGGTATCTCTGTATCTATTACATGAGGCTACCTCTTTGAATATTTACTGTGTGCCTTTTTCAGTTAAAAGATAATTCTTATCCATATTTCAGTTATTTTGAGACACTGGCAGATTTCTTTCAAACTTTACAAGTCAACAGCCTTGTTCTAATTTGGATGTGTACTTTCATCATGTGGCCAAAATTTCCCTGATTTGGTAGAACAATAATAATAAATCTGTCAACTTAATGAAAAAAAAAAAACCAAAAGACCTGACTTGATTTGAAAGAACCGGTTACTGTTACCAATGTAAAATGTGCAGGAGAAGAGGTTTAAAGAATGTCCTGAGAGAGAGAGATGACTGGAAAAAAAAATAGTTAAGACAGTCTTATAGCAAGAGCCCATTTGTTCTCTTGGTATCAACACAGTGTCAGGAGATCTGAAGAAAGGCTCTAGCACATTGGGTGGGCTGCTTGTTTAGGATTTACAGGAAGACATGGACAAAGGTCTCACAGAATGGGCAGGCATGGCGTTGGTGGGGGGGTTGTGATATTTATTGTTGAATAGAGTATTTGAATAGCTTTCTCATTTATCTCCTCTCCAGTCTGTCCTTTGTACATCTGCCCAAGTGATGTTAATAAAGCATAGGTCAGACAATATTGCTCCCCCACTCAGTTAATTCCTATAGCAACTTGTCGCCTCTAGGATAAATTATAAACTCTGTTATTTAAAGCTTTCAGATCCAACCTCAGACACTTCCTAGCTGTGTGACTCTGTACATGTCACTTGATCTCTGTCTGCCTCAGTTTACTGAGCTATTAAATGGAGATAATAGGATCTCCCTCGTAGAGTTGTTCTGAGCATTAAATAAGATATTTGTAAAGTGCTTTACTCAGTGCCTGACACAGTAGTCACTTAATAAATGCTTGTTTCTTCACCTCCCAAGTATCTATGTGTATTTTTATTTATTTATACAATATATGAATGTTTCCTTCCCAACAGACTGTAAATTCAGTGGTCCAAAGATAAAAAGAAAGCTTTTGTATTTACCAAACTATTACTAATAGTTTGGTAAATATGGGAGCTTTCTTTTATTTCTTTATTTACAATTCTTTGCTTTCCTAAAATGCTATTATAGCATTTTATTATTTATTGTAGCACTGTCACATACTATCAGTGTATTGGCTGGTTTTGATATATTTTCCCTTTTATTAATTTTTGTTAAAAGGGGAACTTCTGTGGATAAAAGAAGGATGGAGGGATATATTAGAAAATGAATATATGTAAAATAAAAGTAATAGATATCGATGTTTTTTAAAAGAATGTAAGCTTCTTAAGGGTAAAGACTTTTTCTTTTTTTGTCTATATTTCTAGCTCCTATCACAGTGCCTGGCATATAGTAGGTACACATTAATTGTTTATTGATTCCTGATTTTTAGT